TGTTGACTGCAGTGCTTGGGCAGGTCAGGTAACTCTGACTCTGTTAGCTCTTTTCAGTTGCCCCCTAGACTCTGCACATGCTGTCCTGTATGTGGAAAACCTAAAAACATGACAGGCATATATGACTCCTCAGAGGTCTACTGGCAGGTGAAATGACCAGCATGCTTATTTTGTTGGCTATGGCAGGTTTTTTATAAAGCAATCAAAACCACCCTGCTTGTTTTAGGGGAAATTTTAGGTGTACTATAAGATCTCAGAGTGGACTTTAGTAAGAATGGCTTGGGGCTAGTATTTGTAGCTCAGCAGTAAAGCCTTTGCTTACTTAGTGTGCAGGAATCCCTGGGTTCCATCTCCTGCACCATGAAGAGAAACAAAACAAAAACAAACAAAACTATTCGAGAAAAGGTTTTCAGATCTGTGTTGCTATTGATTTGATTCATGGTTTTCCTGTGACACTGGAACCAGTCTTAAATGAGAATTGAAGTATCTACTTTCTGGTGAAATTATGAAGCTGTTAGCTTTACATAATAATGGATTGATCATTAATTTACTCTTTCCCAGCTTTATGTAATAATGGATTGATCATTAAATTACTCGTTCCTATATAGTGTTCATCCTTCAAGTCCCTCAATCTTGCTTGGAGCACACAATCTTATAGTCACAACTCGGAATCCCTTAACAGCACCCTGAGGATGTTCGTGTGGTGTGTTCTCTTCAGACTGAGCCAGGGTGAGGGGTGGAAGATGGAAAGCCTGGAGTTGAGAAGAATCACATGCTTTGTGTTGGTAACAAGACAGAAACTTCAGAAGCATCAGGCGTTATCCTGGGTGTCTTTGCTCAAACTTGAGAGAAGTTAGGTAGCTAGGCTGCACACACTGCCTCTCTGTCTGTTCACCCTGCTGTCTTCCTTCTCTTACTGAAGTGTTTAGTTAGTGCCAGTGAATAAGGGTGTTTCTGTGGTGAGCTCTGGTTCAACTCTGCAGGTTTTATGTTTGTAAATCCTATGAGAAGTCAATGAAATGTTTTCTAAGGAGAACTGTTGCTGTAAAGTTTTTATGTGATATTTGACGTATTTTCCAGTGAGGATATTCTGTCCACAGAGAATCCAGCATGGGAAAATTTAACTTTCTAACCTGACTCTGTAAAGTGATTACAGAGACCTTGGCACTTGGACTTGAAGGACCATGCCTATCGATAGGAGTTGATCTCTGGCTTTGTTTTCTCTTGACCTGTCTGCTTCCAGAAGCACATCTGACTTGGAAAGGATGGCTCAGGGAGGTAGTGTGTGTTCTGGCTGCTGTCGAAGCTTGCTTTACCTTCTTTTCTACCATTACGTAGGGACCAACTGGGCAGGAAGATGTGGAGGAAACACCATGCTGTTCCTTTAGCCCGCAAAACTGACAGTGTTAGGTATTAACCTCCAAGGGAAAACTGAGCATAGACCAGTTCCTTACGGCAGGACTGGCATCAGTAAGGACCACTGATCGTGTTCTCAGGAGTCTAGATTTATCTAGGGTGACTTGGAAGCTACATACAGGTCATTATGTGAGTAAACAGGTTAGTGACTGAGTGTAGTTCGTGAGTGCTGCTCTGTTCGGACCGATGTCACTTACTTGGATTCTTCAAGTCTTCCATTAGTTTTTTGTTTTGTTTTTTCTTCCCTTATACATCCATCCTTCCTCCATCCCATGTAGCCAACTTCATCCTTTCACCATTAAAAATGGTGAAAAGAGCTGGGTGGTGACACACACCTTCAATCCCAGCACGTGGATCTACAGAGAAAGTTCCAGAACAGCCAGTTACACGAGATATTCCATGTTAGGCAGCACACTGAGATTCAGCTGAAAACACGGTTGTCTTGTACTTACACGTTAAGGAGGGAAGCTAGGGATTATGTTGCCATGGTATGAGGTGCTTTAGAGTCCAGAAGAGAAACAGGCCAATCTGTGATGAGGAGATAGAGGAGTCTGGGAAGGTCTTAGTAAGCAATCTTTGGAAGTCCGGTGTCTCACTGTTTTATATCAGGAAGTTTGGATTCATGGAGTTCTGGTGTCACTTGCTGTGGCATTGGGAATGACCCAGGATCTTGTTCATGCTAGAAAAACACTCTGCTACTCGGCAATATACTCAACCCTGCCCATGTTTAAAGCTTCTTTCCCCTGCTCTTAAATAGTGATCTTTGCACTTTCCTTCATTTCTGGAGCTTGTTTGGTTGTTGTTTCCTGCTTTGATTTTAGAGTCCAGCTTGGCCTCAAACTCGTGATCCCCATGTCTCGGCCTCCTGACTGCTAGGATTACAGGTGTGTGCCCTCTCATTTTCCCTTGAGTTCCATAAGTAGCTGTCTTTTTTTTGTTGTTTTGTTTTGTTTTTCGAGACAAGGTTTCTCTGTATAGCCCTGGCTGTCCTGGAACTCACTCTGTAGACAAGGCTAGCCTCAAACTCAGAAATCCGCCTGCATCTGACTCCCAAGTGCTGGGATTAAAGGCGTGCACCACCACTGCCGGGCTAGTAGCTGTCTTCTTAATAAAGCCCTTTTAAATGTTTGACTGAGGATCACTGTCAGCTCTAACCAAAATCAATACCCTGCTTCTCTACCACGTATCACCTGACATCCCTGTGTCCAGAAAAGTCCAGAGAGGCTAATAGGAAAAAGCCTCGCTAGGACAGGACTTCTTGTGCTACTGGATCTTGACTTTCCAGGTAATGCTGATAACAACTCAGACATTTAACATGTGCTGAGTGAGGTAGCAAGGCTCTGGAGACAGTCAAAAGAGGTAAAGAACTAAGGGGAAGGTAGACAAGTAGACGGGTAAGCTCAGTGGGAGACCCTTCCTTGGTTCCCAGCACAGCCAACACTCTTCCTCCCCCAGGGTAAAGGTACATTTCCTTCTGTCTACATGGATGAGCCCTTTGTTCAACAGCTTGTTTATTTTTATTTATTCTTGCCAATGCAAATCAAAAACTAACAACCCAGCCGAGTTGGCTCTGGTCCCTGTTCCCCAGGGACAGCTAATTTTGTCAGTGATCTGACTGGAAAATCCCTGCCTCCCTCCCACCCCAGGATGTGAGTCTCCTGCCTGTCCAGGCCACCTATGATAAAGGTGTGCATCCACCCAGTTGAGTGATAAGAGGCCCTAGCCACTGAGTAACAGGAAGCCAAGTCTTTGGTGGTAGGAGGTGTTCCTTTTGGCATTTTGCCTAGATCTAGCTCCTTTGTTGTGCAGCCGTTGAACTGCAGGAATGGCTTCTGAAGCAAGCCTGTGATTCTACGGTGTAATCAGGACCTGGCAGAAAGTTTATCCTTAGCTTTTAAGATTCACATTAGAAACTTATAATCTGGAGCTCTGGCAGCTGAGCGACCTGCCAGTGGCCTGAAAAAGAGCCACCGCAGGACTGCGCTGCAGATGTGTTTGTTCTGCCAGGGTGTTTTCCTGACCATTTGCTTTGGGTCTTCTACTATTCCACAGATGCTCTGAGTAACATCAGAAAAGCAGTTCTCTTATCTGCTGAGACAGCTTCGCACTGTAGCCCGAACTCACAGCCAGCCGTTTACTCAAAGCCCCAGATGCTGGGGTTACACCCAGCCTGGTCTCAGGTAGTTTGTAAAAGCATCTTGTTTCTGAGTGTGTACATCCTTTGCTCAGCTGGTTTCCATCAGCCGCCTGGGGAACTTTACCATGGAATTCCCCTGACAGATTGGATTGAAAGAGTGGCTGTTCGTTAGCTCCATGAGATCTGTCTCTGCGCATACTAACAAACCTTAGTGAGCTCAGGCTGACAGGGAAGAGCAGGTAAGTGTCCTGGAAGTGCTTTCCCAGCTTCAGGCTGAGTCACAGTCTCCTGGAGGGCAGGTTCAAATGACCTCATTAGGTGGCTGGGCTCTGTCCTGTTAGTTTCTGTAGGTTAGAGCCTGAGACCCTGTGTCTGCTGTCCTGCTTACATCTTAAGCTGCAGGAACTTGTCAGGGATAACTAAGGTGGTGGCCACATGGTCTTCATTACTCCCACACTGTTGACTGCTGCTTACCTAAGCAGGGCCTCCTGAGGTTTACGATTTGACACTTTGTTTTTGTTGTTGTTTTGTTGTTGTTTTTAAATACTGTGGCCCAAGGTCTCAACAAGTCTTCTAGTACACTTCCTGTAAGTCCTCCTGGTTTGTACCAGGAATCAGTACAGACTCAGCCTTCAAACGGAAGGACTGGTGGAAACGTAGACTGGAGGCTGCTGGGAAACTTGCTCTCCAGTCACCTTCCTGTCATCAGTGATGTTTAATTTGTACTGAAGTTAAATTTTAAACGGAATGAATTTGAGTTTAGAACAGCTGAGTCAGAAAGGAGAAGGTAGTGTTAGGTTTACCTGGCTTTTCCCAGTTCCTCCAAATCTCTTAGGTGAGTCTCTCAAATGACTAGGATAAGGTGAAAAGGGAGAGATTTAGAATTCGGCACTTGATCCAGCTTGTTCCCTGGCAGCCACCATGTTCCCACTGCTCTGGCTCTGGACTGCGGCTCTAGCTATAGAAAGACCGGCCCTGGTACCCATGAGATGCCAGTATGGGGGAATGGCTCTCCCAACCCACCCATGCTGTTCCCTGCAAAGCTTGGCTGAGCCCCTGATAATACCCGCCATCCTCTTGGTACCCGGTAGAAATGAGACTCTTAAAGCTTACTGATTATCTAAAGGATTTATATATTTAGAAATGCTCAATCAACAAGATACCCACACAATTAAAGTTGTTCCCCAATATCTAACCTTTTGATAGAAGTTGCTACCCAGGGCAGCTTTTGACCGATCCATGGTTCTCCATGGCTGCTCCCTCTCTTTTTTTTCTCCCCTTCCTCTCTCTCGCAACTCCTCACTCTGCCTACCTTTCATACTGCCCAATCACCGAGCTTTTTTTGCAAATGTAGGAGGGGGGAAATATCCCCCTACAGTAAGGTACTTGGTTCTGGTTTGGTTTAGCCAGCACTTCCTTTTATTAATGGGCATTTCTCTTGATGCAGTTCTGGAACATCCCAGGAGGGGCAGGATGATCTCCAGCTTGGTCCCAGTGACCTGCCTTCTGACGAGGAAGTCATCAATAGTTCTGATGAAGATGACATCAGCTCCGAGTCCAGTAAAGGGGAGCCAGACCCACTGGAGGATAAACAGGTATATTTTGGTAATTAATTATTTCTGATTTTGTTTTTCTTGTCCTGCTGCTGTATGAGAATGCTGTCTGTCACCCTGGAAGGAAAACAACAGCAACCGTAGCCAGTTAGTCTGCAAAGGCTTTTCCAGTTTAAGTTTGTTCCTGCATCTAAAATGTTATGTATCCAGTTATGTATCACCTAAGGATTATTTAGTGGATTTTGATAAATTGTTTTACTAATGTTCACTGGCTTTTTATATATGCATTTATATATGTGGGTATTGGCATATCTATTGATTAATAACAAATCTCTCTTAGGGGTTATTCTTGTCCTGATACTCATTCTAACCTTCTTTGTTGTGGTTGTTTGATTGTTTTTTTGTTTTGTTTTTTTTTTTGTTTTTTGTTTTTTTTTTTTTTTTTGGTTTTTTGAGACAGGGTTTCTCTCTATAGCCCAGGCTGTCCTGGAACTCACTCTGTAGACCAAGCTGGCCTCAAACTCAGAAATCCACCTGCCTCTGCTTCCTAAGTGCTGGGATTAAAGGCGTGCGCCACCACCGCCCGGCTTTGTTTGATTGTTTTATCTTGTTTTATGTTCGTGGGTTCTGCATGTCTATCTCAAATCCCCTGGAGTTTGAGTTATAGACAGCTCTAAGCTGCCATGTGGGTACTGAGAATTGAACCTGGGTCCTTTGGAAGATCAGCCAGTGCTCTTAAACACTGAGCCATCTCTCCAGCATGTACGTCTGTGTGTGTGTGTGTGTGTGTGTGTGTGTGTGTGTGACAGAAAGAGAGAGAGAGAGAGAGAGAGAGAGAGAGAGAGAGAGAGAGAGAGAGAGAATGTCAGTATAAGTATAACCCTGTCTGGCACTGAATCATAGTAATCCTCCTGCCTCAGCCTTCTCTGAGTCTTGAGATTATAGGTAGGAACACCACACCCAGAGGAGTTAAGTTTCTTGAAAGATGGAAATTATATGCATTGAGGCTTGATGACATCTTTAAAGAAGAACTTCTCAAGCAAACCTACTGTGTGTGGGTGGATGGGGGAAGCATGCTTCGGCGAGCAGGCTTCTGTGCCACATTCAAAGGGTCAGGATCCACACTGCAGGAGTCGGTTCTCTCCTTGCCTGCCCTGTGGCCTCCGGGTTCAAACTCAGGTCGTCAGGCTTGGCAGGGAGTCTCTTTGTCCACTGAGCTCTCTTGCTGGTACTTGATCGTGTCTTTCTCAGGACAGAATAAAGATTGCTGCTTGTACTGGTTAATTCCCACATCACTGTGGCAAAATACCTGACAAGAAACACGTGTAAGGGAAGAAGGGTATGTTTTGGCTCACAGTTCAGGGCCCACCAGTCATGCTAGTGGGAGCTTGAGGCTGGGCACGCCTAGTCCTAGCTTCCAGTTTGCTGTCCCTTGTATTCAGTGCAGATCTCCAGCCCACAGAATGGTGCCACCCACCTACAGTGCAGGTGGGTTTTCTCATGTAAACTAATGGGGATTGTCATAGGATCATTACTGCTGTTATGAAGTGCCATGACCAAAAGCAGCTTGGGGAGGAAAGGGTTTATTTGGGTTACACATCCTGAATCACAGCCCACTGATGGAAGCAGGGGCTGCTGATGGAGAGGCCATGGCTTGCTCCTCATGGTTTGCTCAGCCACCATGGTTTCTTATAGCACCCAGGACTGCCAGCCCAGACTACTACCTACAAAGGTTAGTCACTAATTAAGAAAATGGCATGTAGCCCAGTCTTGTGAAGACGTTTTCTCAAGTGAGGGTTCTCACCTCTCAGATGAGTCTATCGTGTATCAGGTTGACTTAGCCAGCACAGGGATAGTCCTTCATAGGTGTTCCCTGAAGTTTATCCCCTGTGTTACTCTAAATCCTGTCAAGATGACTATGAATATATTAACTGTCTCACTGTTACTAATATAATGATCATTTTCTTAAAATAATCCATTGTGTGTGTGTGTGTGTTATGTGTGTGTATACATTCATATGTGTGTGTGTTATGTGTGTATGCATTTGTGTGTGTGTGTGTGTATGTGTTTGGGAGACATGACAATTGTCCATATGTTTATAAAGGTTTAGGATCTGTGATAGGGAAATTCATTTTAGTTTATTGTAAACATCTGTATGTTGCAGATAAAGAATGCTGCTTGTACTGGTTAATTCCCACATCACTGTGGCAAAATACCTGACAAGAAACACGTGTAATCATATCTCTTTGAGTAAAGGTATTGTGAAAAGGAGAAATTGAACATACCCACAGTATCCCCAGGGTATACTGCAGTGTTACCGAACAGGATCCTTACCGTGTAGCAAGCTGAGGAGAAAATGCTGGTCCCCTGATTCCTTGTCATAATTTACTAAGCCATTATGGTTCCATCTTAACGTTTTGTTGGTCTGTTTAAATTTGCTTCCACCTTTAAATGAGTGGCCCACTGCGGTTATCTAAAATTGAGTCCAGGGCTGGAGAGCTGGCTCAGGGGTTAGGAGCGCTTGTGGCTCTTAGAGTCAGAACCCTCATAATGGCTCATGACCGTCTGTAACTCTAGTTCCAAGGGGTCTGACACCCTCTTCTGACTTTGGCATGTGGTGCACATACATACGTGCAGGCAAAACACATAAAATAGTTAATAAATAAATATAAGAAAATTGGTTTCCAGCTATGATTTGGGTAACATGAAGCAAATTACTTAATCTTTTTGACTTAAAGAATGGCAAATTAAAACAAAATAATACTTATAAATGATTTGATATGGGAAAAATGTAGAATATTTTCCAGTATGGGGTTTAAGCTCAGTGATGATTTGGTTTTTGCTGATGAGAATTTCTTATCCGGATGTGACAGCACGAATTGGCAATTCTAGTTGGGAGGCTGAGACAGGAGGAGTTCAAGGCTATCCAGATTAGCATGGGCTGTAGAGTAAGACACTGTCTTAAAAACAATCAGATACCCCAGACACGAGACACACATACACACAGGCACATCAGGATCAACTCTCACACCAAGTTGTTGGAAGCAATCAATAAAACTTATTTAGGCAGGTGGATCTGTAAGGCTCCCAACAGCTAGGTGACTATCACAGATTGTCACAGGCACACAGAGCCGTCTAGGGGTTTATTTGACTGTCGTGGAGCCTTACTCACCTGCCTCACACTCTAGTTTACAAGTTCACTTTCTGTGTTGCTTCTTGGACACGTTGCTTCTATAGGTATGTAGAGGATAGCCCTCACGTGCCAGGTAGTATCCAGGTTTGTTAGAGATCAGCAGTGATCACGGCCCATGCTTTTGGGGTGCTCACATCCAGGTGGAGGAAGAGGGATCAAAATACACCAACAGGAAGAACCTCAGTGTTTCCAGCGATGTGCCAGGAACCGTCGTAGCTACTTTGGATGAAAGCCTCTGAGAAAGTGATATTTGACTAGAATTTAAATGACTGTGAAGAGCCAAAGCCTGTGGGGAGTTTGAGAAAGAACATTCAAACAGCATTGTGTGAGAGCCGTAATTAAAACCAGGCTTTAGTTCCTTTGATGAGTGACCCTTGCTCGCTCTTCCTGATTCAAAGTGTTGTTTTGTCCTGTTCTTTTTCACTTGAACCTTTTCCAGTTCCTCTGGAAGTGGTATCTTCCACATAGATATCTCCACATGGCACTGGGGGGTCATACTGGGAGAAAGACAAGCTCTGACTGGTTCCACGGTTCTTCCCAAGATCATGTTCTGTCACTGCGGGGCTGACACCTTCATTTTGTGGTCAGTGGAGACTCCTGAGGTCCCTTCTGTCGTTGTGTATGCCTTTCCTTCCAGTCCTGCTTCTGTTTCATTGTCACATGTCCTTTTGTGCCACGATGACATATCCCTGCTAAATCTTTATCTTTTTAAACATTTTGTGTGTGTGTTTGTGTGTGTGTGTGTGTGTGTGTGTGTCTATCTGTGTGAGCATATGCACCATCACAGATTCATAGAAGTCAGGAACAATTTTTTAAGTGGGACTGTTTTTCAGTTAATTGCAGACATGTAACATTTCATCCCTCCCTCCCTCCCTCCTTCCCTCCCTCCCTCCCTTCCTTCTTTCCTTCCTTCTTCCCTCCCTCCTTCCCTTCCTCCCTCCCTCC